TCCCGCGGTCTCATCCACCAGTTGATCAATGTTTGGCAGAGGGAAGGGGTCCATAGGGCACGCCTTATTCAGATCAGTGTAGTCCACGCACATGCGGAAGGTAGGAGGCTTCTGTGCGAGGACTACGTTTGCCAACCAAGAAGGATATTTCACCTCCTTAATGTGTTTGATGGAGAGGAGCATAGATACCTCCTTCCTCACGAACTCCCTTCTCTCGGCCGAGAGGGGTCTTCTTCGTTGCTGCACTGGTTTGGCCGAAGGGTCCACCGCCAGGCGGTGGGTGATAACCCTTCGGTCAATTCCTGGCATGTCCTCCGGCCCCCATGCAAAAACAATGGAGTAGGCGCGGAGGGCCTTGGTGATGCCAGCCTTCAGGTCTTCGGGGAGCTTGGCTCCAATCTTCAGGACTCTCTCCGGCTTGGCCGGATCGAGTATCAAGTCTTCGGTTTCCTCGGCAGGCTCAGCCCTCGGCCTACCTTCTTCCTCTTCCAGGGCCTTGGCGGTGATGGTGTCAATCCGAAATTCGGTCTTACTAACCTTCTTGGTGAGTTGAAGGTAGCAGGCCCTGGAGAGCTTCTGATTCCCCCTCGAGTAACCGATGCCGGTGGGTGTGGGGAATTTGAGGCAGAGGTGTCTCATGGAGATGACGGCTTCTAAGTCCTCGAGGGCAGGCCGGCCGAGGATGATGTTGTGTGCGCAGTCGAGGTTGACGACGACGAATTCCACTTCGAGCTTGGCTCTATGAAATCCGTCGCCGAATTCAACCATGAGGGTGATGACGCCCTCGGCGTCTATGCTATCCCCCGTAAAACCGGAGAGGGGGGTGTTGATGTGTCGAAGGGACCCCCTATCGAGTCCCAACTCTTGGAAAGTGCTGAGATACATGACGTTGACAGAACTCCCCGTGTCGACGTAAGTCCGGTGGATGATGGCGTCGTTGATCTCAGTGCGGATGACGAGGGCATCCCTATGCGGCAGAGAACCCGAGGGGAGGTCCGCATCCGTGAAGAAGATTGGATCCGCCCTCGGCCTTTTAGTTGGGGGTATGTGATTGACTTCCCCAATGTAAAGGGACTGTGCCCATTTCTTCCTTTGGCTTGTTGAATCGCCTCCGGTGTTGCCGCCGTTGATCATGTGAATGTGGCGCTTGTATTGCTGATGGGAGCCCTCTCCCTCGTCCTCGAGGCCCCCAATCTCACGCTTCTTCCCTTGTGGGTTTCCCAGAGGGATGGTGTTGGGGTTCACCCACTTGTTTGCCTTCGGCGGAGGGCCTTGATGATGTGGGGGCCCCTGGGAAGGAGGGCCCCGGATAAATTGAGACAAGTGGCCTGCCTGTATCAGCCTTTCGATGGCGTTCTTCAGCTGATGGCAGTCGTCGGTTTTGTGTCCATGGTGACGGTGAAAGCGGCAATAGGGCTCATCAGGGCCGATGGCATAAATCTCGAGGGGTGTACGGGAGTCTCGCTCCACCAGCCCTCGCTCTTCTGCATGGTCCAAGATGATGCTGACGGGGTGTGTCAGGGGAGTGCGTGGGTGCTCAAGGAGGACGGGTTGCGCCCACGCCTTCGGATTGTTCTTGTAACCGCCCCCGGTTCTGGCTTGGCCACCCCGGGAGCGATCGTTGTACTGCGCTTCTCGGTTGACCGGAGGGGGAGGCCCTCCGGGCCGATTCCTGCCTTCATTCTTCTGAGAAGGATCCGTGTTGCGGCGGTCCTTCTCGATTTCCTCTGCTTCAGCATATCGGTCCCCCCGCTGAAGGGCCTTCGTATAATCGCGGGGGGGATCAGTGATAAGGCTCCGGGAGAAGTTACCGTTGCGGAGGACGGTGTGGAAGAGGGCCATCAGGGTTTTGTCATCGGCGCCCTCGACCTCGAGGGAGGCCTGCCTCCAGCGTTCCAGGAAACTCCGAAGGGTCTCCTCCTTCTGTTGTCTCACGTTTAGGAGGTGGGAGAAGTGCTTCTTTGAGCGGTGCCTCCCCGCAAATTGTGTAAGGAAGCGGTGGGCAAGTTCTTGCCAAGAATCAATGCTGCCTTCGGGCAACCGGTTGAACCACTCATACGCGGGCCCCTCCAAGGTGGAAAGGAACCAACGGCATAAGTATTCATCCGATGCCCCCATCATCATCATGCTGTTTTGGTAACAGCTATAGTGTTCTTGGGGATCCGTCTTCCCCTCATACGGCTTGATAGGCTGCCCCCGATATTTGTGAGGGATCTTGGCCGCCAACACCCTTGGGGTGAAGGGTGTTCTAGTGCGGAGTTGAATGAGGGGCCCGCCGGAACCTTCGGCCAGTTTGCGCTTCATTTCCTCCACCTGTGCCCGGAGGTCAGCGTATCCCGGATCTGGTCTAGCCGTGGAAGCCGTCGGTGGTGCCTGACGATTCTCCTCAAGTTGACGGAGGAGGGCTTCAATGATTTCGTCCTTGGGATCCTTCGGGGCAACCCCTTGGGAGTTGGCCCGGAAGGACTGCGCCTGATTGATTTGGTGCCTGGCGTCATCGGCATGGAGGAGGGCTTTACCTTTGCTCCGGGGGGGAGGCACGCCCTCGGCACCCGAAGCGGAGGCACCACTCTCCTGGGGCCTGCTAAATTCTTGCTTGCCGAGGCGGTCTTGGACCCCTCGGCGTCCAGGAGCTCCCCCCAGCCTCTCAAGTGCAGAGGTCCGGGGTTTCTCCTTCATCACAGGGGGCTTGTCCCTGGATTGAGCCTCCTGGGAGGCGGTATCCTGTGCTATGACCCCCTCGCGGTTGCCAACCCCCGGGGGAGGGTTGTTGAACAAAGGAGGGAGTGGCGGTAAGTTGATAACATTCCCTCCAGCATAGGGCTGAAGGGGTGCCTGAGAGGCGAGGGCTCCGGAATTGAGAGCCATGTTTTGAACAAAGGCCGCAAAGGCAGCCTGAAGATCGATGGCCGAGGCCGGAGGGGGAACTTGGTTCTCACTCCGATCCCTCCTTCGATTATCAAGGCCAATGCGGGCATCAGGGGTGTTCTTCTGCAGTTGCTGTCGTAGGTCAGCGGTGGCTTGCTCTAACTCGAGGATGACACCACCCTCGGGTACTAAGAGCCTGTTGGAGGCCTCAGCCCCGTTAGTTTCGTCGGGGGCCATATGGTTCTCCTCGAGGGTTTTGGACTGGGCACGGGTTGTTCTTCCCATTTTTGGTGAGTGTTTTGTATTTGGTAGAGGGGGAGGGCTTCTTACTTGATTGTTCTGACCTCTCAATGAGAGCACCAAATGATAGACTATCTACCCGGGGGGTGTCTTATCCGAGGGGTTATTGCGGGAATAACTAGAGAGAAGTCAGAGCAAATAGGAGGAGAGAGAGTCGATTTTATTAAATGAACTCGAGATGTGGAGTTGGGATGTAGATCGTGTTTTACAAGGAGAAATGGGCTGCTATTTATAGCAGCAATAAATGCGATGGGAGGACACGTGTCAGTAATCCAACGGCCGAAGGGTCACATCAACCGGTTGGCACCGGCAGTGGTACGTTTACCGCATTGAATGCGGCTGGCGGATGTGACGTGGCATTAAATGCGGTGGTTGGCTGTCTCCAAAAGGAATCTTCGATGATTGAACGTGTTTGGCCGAAGGCAAACTTGTGTAGCCGAGGGCTCCTTGTGTAGCCGAGGGCTCCTTGTGTAGCCGAGGGCTTTTCTGATCCCGAGGGCGTGAGAATGCCGAAGGTTCATGTTTTCGCCCGTTTTCTCCCAGCAGCTTCTTATGCCCAAAAAGGCTATCCTGTGAGTTTTGGAGCCTTCGGCCAAGGAGGCCGAGGGCACCCCAGCGTGTATCCCGGGCTACTTTGAGGCTTGGGCCGTTGTATTTGGGCCTGAGTTGTTCCCTGAGCCCAACGGACTTGTGTAGGAGAAGTAGGAGTCTATGGGCCGGGGGTTCCTGGGCCATATACTCCATCAATATATATATATAGAGAGAGAGAGAGAGGACTGCTCAGGTCCCTCCGGAGGGACGGGAGGGACCGTCCGAACTTTACTGTTTGGGGCGGTTCCCGGTGGAATTTTTTGATGAATTTTTTTTAGTATGTTCCTCATCAAGTCTAGTTTGTCCATACCAAATTTCAGCTGAAAATTCGACCGGGAAGGCAGTCAAATAAATTCTTGAAACTTACTGCACTTTATATATGCGCAGAATGTGCAGTAAGCTTCAAGAATTTATTTGACTGCCTTCCCGGTCGAATTTTGAGCTGAAATTTGGTATGGACAAACTAGACTTGATTAGGAACATGCTCAAAACATTTCATCAAAAAATTCCACCGGGAACCGCCCCAAACAGTAAAGTTCGGACGGTCCCTCCCGTCCCTCCGGAGGGACCTGATTTTCTGTATATATATATATATATATATATATATATATATATATATATATAGAGGGCTGTTCTCATCAGTCCGGCCTGACGGGCTGCCCCGTCCGGCCGAGCCCGTTTGGGCACCTTCCCGGTGGAATTTTTTGATGAAATTTTTTGAGCATGTTCCTCATCAAGTCTAGTTTGTCCATACCAAATTTCAGCTCAAAATTCGATCGGGAAGGTCGTCAAATGATTTTTGCAAGTTAACTGGTCCGGAAAATACATATTCCGGACCAGTTAACTTGCAAAAATCATTTGACAACCTTCCCGATCGAATTTTGAGCTGAAATTTGGTATGGACAAACTAGACTTGATGAGGAACATGCTCAAAAAATTTCATCAAAAAATTCCACCGGGAAGGTGCCCAAACGGGCTCGTCCGGACGGGGCAGCCCGTCAGGCCGGCCTGACATGAAGTTTTCTCTATATATATATATCTACATTATTTGTGTAGCACTTGGTGTTATTATTAATGCTTTAACATAAAACGCGTGCTATTTAGTTTATGAACTCTTTCATTGTTTACAATTTATTTTTATTAAAATACGTAAAATTTGAACACAAATATTTACTGATATGTTGTTGAAATTAAACAAATTGGAGTTCTTTAATTTAAAAATAATATTAATTATTAATTAGGTACTTCCCTGAAGGAATAGACATTTATTTTGAGAATGTTGGAGGAAAAACCCTGGATGCGGTGCTTCTGAACATGAATACTCACGGGCGGATAGTAGTATGTGGTATGATTTCACAGTACAACATTCAAGCAGAGGGAACTGAAGGCGTTCATAATTTAATGACCCTCATCAGTAAAAGGATTCGCATGGAAGGATTTCTGGTTTCTGATTATTATCATCTCTACTCTGAATTTCTTAAGACAGTCCTTTCATACATTAAGGAAGGGAAGATTGTGTACGTGGAAGACATTGCAGAAGGTATTGAAAGTGCTCCTAAGGCTCTCGTCAATATTTTTACGGGTGCTAATGTTGGGAAGAAATTGGTGCTTGTCTCACGCGAATAAGTGCTTCCTTATTTCAATTCAATCATGCACCTTTCATTATTACCAATAATAACTAGCAGGTCGGCGGTCATATTTTCAATTTGAGAAACTATTATCATTGAAAATCAAATTCCATGTTATCTTTATGTTACATGTAAGGATTATTGCATTGTTGAATTGGAATCGTGATATATGTATGTGTGTATGTGTGTGTGATGTGTCATCCACAAATATGTTTTTCTAGAGCCTGTTTGGTAGCACGAAAATGGGCTGATTTGGCTGTTTCTGCTGAAATTTATGAAGTTCTGCCTGAAATGGCTGCATTGGCTAATTCTGCTGATTTAAGAAAAAAATATTTTTAAAATATATTTTATTAATAAAATAAAGAATTTTTATTTATGTAAAATAGCTAAAATGGTCATCTACAGTAACTTCAGGCAATACAGCCACAAAAGTAAATTCAACCTTACTTTTTCTGCTTATTACACAATTCAGCGTGCAAAAGCAAAAATTACGTGCTTGGTGAAAAAATTGGCTGATAAGCCTGATAAGCCGAAAAACAGTGTTGCCAAACAGCCTCCTACTGCATTAGACATTTCATTTGTTTTATGCGTTAACAACAAATCCTAGCATTCACTAGCAGATCGAGAGAGTTCCTCAAGAGTGAATATAATACCCGACTTGAAAACTTGTTCTATATTAAAAAAAGTTGCATAAAAAATAATCATTAAGTCTAGTTTGTGCATATCAAATTTCAGCTCAAAATTCGATCGGGAAGGCATTCAAATCATTTTTTGAAGTTGACTGCAGTTTTATATGTATATTTTGACGCACTCAACTTCAAAAAATGATTTGAATGCCTTCCCGATCGAATTTTGAGCTGAAATTTGGTATGGACAAACTAGACTTGATGAGAAACATGTTCAAAAAATTTCATCAAAAAATTCCACCGGGAAGGTGCCCAAACGGGCTCGGCTGGACGGAGCATCCCGTCAGGTCGGCCTGACAAGAAGACCACTCGTAGTTTATTACATAGTCCTTACATTATATACATTAATTATATTATCTCTGTCTCAATCAATACGTTTTATTTTGGCTTGACACAATTATCAATAAAGTGGTTGGAAAAGTAAAATTGTGATTAAAATTTAAGTATAATAAGGTAACATGATGTGGATCGGACAACATATCTCTTTTCAAAAAAGGGAACATGACACTAATTTTGAGACAACTCAAAAAAAAAGTGAGACACATAAAATGAGACGAATGGAGTAGTTCATTCCTTCATTTGGGTTATATAAAGCCATGCGTTTTCATATTTTGAAACTATTGCATAATAATTTCATGGTCAATTCTTTTAAAATATTTCTCTCAATATAGTAAATTAAATTAAACAATTAGTAAGATAATCATCATTCATCTTATTTAGAATTAAAGACTAATCTATATAGTGTTTGTCACAGTGAATTCTGTGGTGGTTGTTGCATTCAGTAACACTAAAACCAACTGAATAAGACGATATATTAATTTCAAAATCAGCCAACTTCTTAGAAACATCGCCAATATTTTGCAATACAACCACTACAAAAAAACACGCGTTTAGTCACGGACCGTAGTCACGGATTTGGTCCGTGACTAGTTTAGTCACGGACTAGTCACGGACTAGTCACGGAAATTTAAAAAAAAAATAGTCACGGTCTGGACCGTGACTATGGCCGTGACTACAATTAGTCACGGTCGTGGCCCGTGACTTAAGTCCTCCGATAGGCCCGTTTCCGTTTCCGGCGAAGTTTATTTGATTCCGACGACTTAGTCACGGCCACATCCGTGACTATACCCGTGACTATGATTAAAATTTAATTTTTTCACCTCCCTTAACTTAATTCGCAACGGTATTATGTACGGATAACTTTAGTCACGGACATGGCCGTGACTAGTTCCGTGACTACTTTGATTAACACGTCATTTACACGTCATTAACACGTGTTGGACGCGTATTGGACACGGTTTTGCTTAGTGACGGACAAATCCGTGACTAAGTCCGTGACTAAATTTTTTATATATGCAGGAGCATCTCATTGAACAGAACCACACCAATTCATTCCCAGTATATACAGTATCCGTTTGAAAGATCGAAGGATGTAGTCTATCTTCTATCATTTTCCCTGTTTATGCAGATAAGGTATGTTATTTGAATTATAATTTTTATTTAGAATTAGTTGGTTCAATTTAAATTATTAAAACTATTAAATTAGTGAGGTTGTTAATTAATTAACAACATGTTTTAACTATAAGCGTAGTAATGTCATAAATTAGAATTAGTTAATTTTTTAGGTTTATAAAACAATTTATTTAAAATTAGTTAGCTAAATGTAGTTTAAAACGTAATGATGTTTATGTTAAGTGAAATTAGTTCAAATAACGTACGTTAGTAATGTGTTAATTAAGTGAATTGTGAATTGTTCTTGTGAATTGTGTATTGCTTATTAATTCAAATGACTTTATATACATGTTCAAATTATTGGGTTGAATTTGGTCATATTATTTAATTTAGTGAATTGTTAATTGTGTATTACTAATAAGATTAAATGTCATTAACGTAATAATTTAGTGTAGGTTTAAATGTAGGTTTACAAAAATAATTTAATTCAAATTCGTTTGCTAAACGTAGGTTAAGTTTGAACGTAGCTATTGATGTGTTAATTAAGTTAAATTAGTTAGCTAAACGTAGGTTTATACGTAGTGATGCATTAAAAGGGGACGGAATGAACTAGTTAAATTTAGTTAAATTTAGTTAAATTTAACTAAATGAATTAGTTAAATTTAATTAAACGTATGTTTAATTTAGTGAAATTATGTGCATTATTGTGCATAAGGGGACGTATATTTTGTGCATTATTGTTGTGAATTCTATGCATTTCATTTAATTTAGTGAAAATTAGTTGATTATATTTAGTGAAATAAATTACTTAAAATTGTGTGCATTGCATTTCATATAATTTTTTATTATAATATTCAGGCATAATGTATAAACAAAATAGAAGTTGGATGTATGATAAAGATGCGGTATTGTACGGAATGCAATCAAATTTTCTCGAGGGAGTCGGGGAATTTATTGAATTTGCACTTGAACATCCGGCTTATATGAGTGGTGATAAAATAAGATGTCCATGTTCAAAGTGTAAAAATCTCAAATTTAAAGACCCACACGAAGTTGGGTATGATTTGTACGCGGTCGGTTTTGTTCCCAATTATTATAATTGGACTTCTCACGGCGAACCTTTGGATCCATCTGTTATACCACAAACGGTAGGTTCGTCTCGTTACGTCCCTCCAGAGATGAGTGCGTGGGGAGACCGTGCTGAAATGAGGTGGGACCAACAAATGGTATATGACGCATACGGTGTACCGTCTCAGTTCAACCCCCCACAACCACCTAACGACCACCCTGAAGCCTCAACCTCGTATCAACCAGATGCGGATGAAAATCCGACATTTTATCAACCTTATGTGGATGAAGGTTTGGATGAGAGATTTCAGGATGTTCTAAAAGCTGCCGACCAACCTCTGTATGCTGATTGTGAGGGATACTCTCAGCTATCCGCTGTTACTGAGTTCATGAACATAAAAGCCGAATACAGTCTCCCTGAAACTTGCATGAATAGAGTCTTGCAGTCAGTAGGAGGGATGCTACCGCGAGATCATACCCTTCCCGATTCATATTACCACATGAAGCAGTTAATGTCTAAGTTGGGGCTACCTTGTGTTGAAATTGATGCGTGCCCGGGAAGGATGTATGTTGTTCTGGAAGGAGGATGAGGCACTTGAGTTCTGCAAGTTCTGTGGTGGAGACAGATACAAACCTGTTCGTCAAGGTAAAAAGAAACCACGACATAGGTCTGCACTGTCTAAACTGTATTACCTCCCAATAGCTCCTCGACTGCAAAGGATGTACGCTTCGACTGCTACTGCGAAACACATGACATGGCATGTTGAGCACGAAACCAACGAGGGTATGATGGCTCACCCTTCGGATTGTGAAGCCTGGAGACACTTTGACCGCTGTCATCCTCAGTTTGCTATGGAGCCACGAAATGTGCGGCTGGGATTGTGCTCAGATGGATTTGCTCCTTTTGGCAGGTTTGGCAAGAACTATTCATGTTGGCCGGTCATGTTAACTCCTTACAATCTACCTCCCGACATGTGCATGAAAAGTCATTTCATCTTTTTGTCTTTAATTTGTCCGGGTTCAAAGGATCCTGGGCGAAAGATAGACATTTATCTTCAACCCCTTATTGAGGAGATAAAAGAACTGTGGGCCGTTGGGACACCAACTTATGATGTTTCATCAGATAAAATGTTTATCATGAAAGCTGCCATCATTTGGACCATTAGCGACTTCCCTGCCTATGGCATGCTTTCGGGATGGAGCACACACGGTCTGATGGGATGTCCGATATGCATGGAGAAATCAGGTGCCAACAAGAAGTCTTTGACAAGTTACTTTGATTGTCACCGCAAGTTTCTCCCGGAAAGGCACCGATATCGAAAGGACAAGAAGTCTTTCATTAGAGGCAGAGCGGTACGAGAGAGCCCACCCTCGAGATTGACCGGTGAAGAAATTTATAACCGGGTTCGACGTTTTCCTACGGCTATGGAAGAGTCAAACCAAGAGCCATATGGGTATTGTGATACCCATAAGTGGACAAAGAGGAGCATATTCTGGGAGTTGCCTTATTGGAAAGACCTTCTCATCCGTCACAATTTAGATGTCATGCACACTGAGAAGAACGTCTTTGACAATATATTTAACACGGTGATGGATTTGAAAGGCAAAACTAAAGACAGTCTTGCAGCTAGGAAGATATGACTATTTGGTGTGATAGACTCGAACTTTCTGTTGATCTAGAATATCAGGGCAAGGAAGTTCCAAAAGCAGTCTACCAGGTCACAGAACCACAAAAGGCAGCAATATTAAAATGGCTTGCGTCTCAGAAGTTTCCAGATGGTTGCTGCTCCAACTTGTCTAGATGCGTAGACATGAACAAACTTACCACGACGGCGAGCATGAAAACTCACGATGCTCATGTAATAATGCAAAGACTTCTACCAATTGCACTAAAAGAGATGCTCCCTGAACACGTATGGTCCTGCATTACTGAAATCAGTTTGTTG